GGTCCAGGGGCTGCTCTTCACGGGCTGACCGCACCACACAGAGACGGCGTTGGGCAGAGAGCTGATGTCATCATCGCCCGCGCGAACCGCGGCCAGCACAGTCAACAAAGATTGGGTTCTTGTGGGGTTCTGTGCGGTGTGTTGGGGCGGATCTGACTTTAATTCCGGGTAGGGGGCGGGGGGTTCGACAGTGCGGTGCGTGTGCAGGCGTGGCAAGCCAAGGTCACCGTAAGCCTGGCGTTGTCGCTCTGAATTGGTGGCGTGCACGCGTCCAGGTCCACCTGCTCCTCCGCCAGCCGCACTGTCCCACCGTAACGGTACTGGTGCAGTTTCACGGTCTCTGCTCAGCCGGGCGGGCGCCAACACCACTGACACCACCACCCCGCCGCACCCGGCCGCCCCGCTGCACCCCGCCATTGCATCCGCACCCCCAAGGGGCCGCAACGAGCGCCGCCTGCAGTCGAAGAAGCACCGCGGCGCCGCCCCCACCGGCCCGCTCGGCGGCGAGGAGCCGCCGCCGCTGTTCGGCGCAGACCACCTAGACCGCCTGCGCAGCAGCGACGGCGGCGGCGGCGGCGACGGCGCCGCGCGCCCCGACGCATCCACGGGTGGCGAGGAGTTCGAGGCCGGCCTGGTCACCCTGCGCCGCGAAACCTCGGCCGCGAGCTTCAGATCGCAGGGGTCCGAGGATGAGGCCCAGATCACGGATCAGGGCACAGACACTGTGACCGCGGACATCCGGGCCGGGGGGCCGGCCAAGGTGGCGGCGCGCGGCGGCGGCGGCGGCGGTGACGCGCTTGCCAGTATGAGCAGCTTGGATGATGACAGCGAGAGCGATGGCCCAAGCAGCGGGGACCGGGAGCGGGGCGCCGCGCTGATGGGGCTGGGCGGGCCCGAGGCGGCGGCCGCGGCGGCGGCGGCTGCGGGGGGCGGTATGCTGGACACGTTGAACTTCAACCTGATTCCCGCCAAGGAGTTTGGGCTGCAGATGCTCAGGATGCCCAAGTGCGTGGGTGGGACATTGGGTGGGGAGTTCAGTGGGAAATTCGGGGTGGGGGGATTGGGTGGTTTGGTGGGTGATTCGATGATTGGGTGATTGGGTGATGGGGTGGCAGGGCGGGTAGGTGGGTGGGTGCTTGTTGAAGGGCGACCAAGGGGGCATCGGCGATCTCATATCTGAAAACCGAGTTGTTCGCCGCGGTGGAGTTTGCAGCGACGTTCGATTTGCTGGACTGGCAGTTGGGCCCCACCCCAGCACAGCATTCATTAGTTTGAGCTTGCCGTCCCCCCTCCCATTTCTGCCCGTTCCTGCCTACTGCATCCTTGCAGGCGGGTGTGGTTGGCGTCACTGGGTAACCTGGTGACACTGAAGGACCCTCGGAAGCCCTTTGTCGAGGCCTTTGCTGACAACCAGGTGCGAACAGCTGGGCCGACCAGCTACGTGCCTTATCAAGCACCTTGAAACTGCGGCGCAGCTGTTGCTGACCCGCCTGGCGCGCAACATGCGGTGTATGTTGACTATTGAGTGTATCTGCATGTGCCCGTGCGTGCGTGTGTCAAAAATGCTGGCTTGTTTGGTAGGTGTGCGGAGTGGCAACGAGAGCTTGGCGTTTGCGTTCACTTCCTCTAATTGCTCGGTCGAGAGTATCGACCCATGTCAATACCATACATCTCTACATGCACAGGCTCATTAAGGAACAGCAGCCAGTCAACCTGGTCAACCATCCCTTGCTCCCTTCAGCAAGCTGCCCAACCCCCCTCCATGCCTGTGTTTGCCTTGCAGCGCCTCACCTGTCCCCCTCCTCCCAAAATTGCCCCATGCACCCCCCAGCTGCTGGGCTTCACGCGTTACTACACCATCATCCTGGAGCACTCCAAGACCAGCATCGCGGGTGCGCACGGCCGCTTTGACTCACCAGAGCTGCCCTGTTTCATACAGCAGCACATGTGTATTGCTTGCATTACAGGCAAAGGCTGACGGCAGCCCAGCTGATGCTCTGTGCCGCATCGCATCGCTGGATTATCGCAGAATGGATTCAGCCAAAAATATGCAGATATGTGAATGTTGCGAAATGCTGCTGTGGGTGTTTGCCCAGCATAGGGGTGCTGTGTCGGCGGAGGTTGGGCCAGCGGCGCAGGCCACCACTTGCGCGGCTTCCACTATCTGTGGGCCGCTGTACAATACCAGCCACCCACACGCACCCCATGTTCGCACCACCTGAGGGTATGCACGCACGCGGCCGGTCGTTCGGCCACCAACATTACACCCTCACTCGGCGCAACCAGGTACGACCCCTGTCATCAACCCGGTGAACTGATGACCCACCGATGTATGTTCCCTCCCCCCCCTGCCCCCACCCCCCAGGCGTGCTGCGCGTTTTTGCGCGCAACGGAACGCTGCCGGCGCTGGTGCACTGCGCGCACGGCAAGGACAGGACGGGGGTGGTGATCATGCTGCTGCTGGCGGCGTGCGGTGTGCCTCAGGAGGTCATTGTCGATGACTACATAGAGGTGCTTGGGTGCCCTTGGGATGACGTAATTGTCAAGGGGGGGGGTTGAAGCCCTGCAAATGAAGCTTCTTGATTGTGCTTGACGGAACCTTTGCCTCCATGCGTTTGGTCCGGATTGGTGGGGCAAGCATGGCGGGCGCACTGATGGGGGAGGCGCAGCGCTGAGATTGAAGAAACCTGAACCGCTGCATGCCACTTACCTGTGTTAATTTCCAGTGCTCCTCCAATCTCCCAAACCCCCGCAGAGTGAGAAGCAGCTGCGCGCCTACCGGGAGTCCCTGGGCCTGCCGCCCGCCCTGTGGGCCACGGGCGCACCCATCCCCCTGAGTGACGTCATAATCGCTTCAACGCAGGTGCGTGGCATGCGCGCGCGTGTGCGTACATTGTATGTGGGCGGGCACGTGGGCACATACGCTGGTGGGTGTGCGATTGCGTGCCTCAAAGGTCTCAGTCGATTTCAAAATTCTGTTCCAAAAAGGAGCATGGTGGCGTATGTGCTTTTTTTCCTGCCCGCCTCTGAAGACCGGGGCAGCTTTCATCCCCAAAAGCATTTGTCCTGCCCTTGTATGCCCACCCGAGGCTGAACTGGTTGCCACGTACGCAATGCTGCCGTGAGGGGGGAGCAAAGCATCCCCCCTTGAACAATCTCAACAGTGAATACCTCGCTTCATCACCCTGCTTCGTTCGTCGACACTCCCTCCCCTCCCCGCATGTTGCTCATCCCCCTCCCCTGGCACATTCAATCAGGAGACCATGCGCGCCCTGCTGCTGTACCTCGAGGAGCGGTACCCCCTGGTGAGAGGGCTCCCCCAACCGGGGCCACCAGCGCGCTGCTGCCCGGCGCCCCGCTGAACTGGCAGCCCTTTTGACTGGAACTGGCTTGGACACTTGTCGCGGCACAGCCCAGGTGTTAGCGTGCTGGCTGCAGCCCGGCCTCGAGGGTCCAGGCTTGTCGACCGGCCGGCCCTGAACACATTCCCATTCCACCTGCTGGTGCAAATCTCTCTTGACTTCTTGGCGACTGGCAGGGCGCTGACTCATACCTGGAGAGCTGCGGCCTTACCCCTGCCGAAATCGACGCGATCCGGGTCAACCTGATGACTCAGGAGGCCCTCGAGGCATTCAAGCAGCAGCGCGCCGCAGGCTGGCGGCACGCGCCACGCGCAGGCGCAGGCGTGGCAGGCAGCGGGGATGGAGGGGACACAGGCGAGGCCGGGGGGCAAGAGAGGGTGAGGGCGGCAGTGGAAGGGGCGAAGGCGGCTGCGGGGGCACCACGGAGTGAGGGCAAGTGAGAGCGCAGGCGTTTACAATTACAGCTTTATTGGTGGGGTTGGCTGTTAGGATTTTCAAGGTCTTCTTGAAAGGGGGATGTGCAGCAGGGGTTGCTTCCTGTGCCAGCTTTGATTGACTTTGGGCCCTGCTTCAAGTCAAGCAGGGCCGCTTGCGCATTGCAGCTGCACTTGTGGCCTGATGAGCCTGCTACATGTGCGCTACTTGCACGGTTTGCGATGTCTTTGCGATGTCGACCTGGCCAAAGTGGACCAAGGTGACAATCAGTGCGCCCTCTTCCAGTGACGACAGACCAGAGCAAGGACGTCCCTTCGTCTGCCAGTGCAATTTGTACATAATGGCACAGGCGGTCCTGTGAGTAGTGTTTGCTCATGCTGTAATTTGCATCAAAGCCTTATTTATCACCGTCTTCTCAGCAGGCGTCGCAAGGAGGGTGGTATAGGACACTGGGTGGCGCCCATGGGGACTGCGAGAAGCAGGTCAGCAGCTCTCGGGTGCACCCAAAGGCGGGTGTGACGCGATCCTTTTGACCGTGCCCTAGCAATTTCTCGGCCAGTGGCTGGTGACCAGCATCGCTGGGCCCCACAATAATTGTCTGAGCGTACATAATACATCGCTTGGGCATCATGGGCTCGAACAGCAGGCATCAGCTGGGGCCGTGGGCACTGGTGTGGCTTGCACTGGTGTTGGCATGCGGGAGGACTGTTGCAGGCAGAGACTACCAGGGCTGGCGGCTCATATGCGCAGGTATGGCTGATCTGCGTGCCCGCCAGATTGTGACTGCCTGCAGCGGATGCGTATGGGGTCCCATGGCAATCATACTGCATGTAAAGTAGCAGAGCTCTTCGTTTCAGTCGCTGGTAGCACGTTCTGCAGCGATTTGGGCAGCGGCGCCACAGCAGGCAACTCAACCGCCGATGCGGGCCGCCTCATGGTGCAGGGTTGACCCCAACTTGATGTGCCCCGCACACTTGAGCTATTTGAAAGCAGCAGCAGCGTGATTTGTGCTGCTAGCTGCTTAGAGCGAGGATGGGGACGACGGCATCGGCAGCGTGCGCACCACACCTGCTGCTGCGCGCTGCACGTCCCCATCCCCACACACCTCGAGCGCAGCGCCTGCCCTGGGCGACCCTGTGATTGCCTACACTGATTTGTATGGCACGCCCAACATCTCGGACTCTGCATGGTGAGGGGGTCGCGGCGTCGCGCCGACGGTCCCTGTGCCCCTAAGTGTGAGCTCCCCAGGCTGCCTGCCCACCAGGGCGCACCCTGCGGCCCCGCGTGGCCTTGAAACGACCCGCGCTGCAGCCGCCATCGCAGTCTAGCACTCCCAAGAGCCACTTGGCACCACGCCTCACAACATCCCTCCCTCTTGCCGTCGCGGCTGAAACGCTGTCAGGCACGACGACACTTGGGCGTTCATGCAGTATGGCCCCATCACGGCGATGAGCATGTACTACTCTGTCCCCTGGCACGACCCCTACATCGGCTGGGTGGGCACCACTGGCGCAGGGATGGTTTAGGGACGATATGTTGCGTCAGCAGCCGCCGCGGAAGGGCTGGGCCGCCCAGGATTTGCAGCGGGCCACAACGTCGCTGGCGGAGGCACCAGCCCGGACAGCTGGAGGCGGCCGTGACGCGAAACCAATCTGCACCATCACGCACCGAGCGAATCCGTTCAAACCAACCCCTGTTTCATCAACCAACAAGACCCCGCCACCACCACCCACCACACACTTGCAGCATCCCGGGGGCGAGTTCAAGGGCATCCAGCCGGTGTACGGCACCAATGGCACCAACGACCAAGACCTGCTTTTTGGCGCCAGGAGGCCCCACAAGCCCTTCAACTTCACACTGGAGCCTGGGGAGGTGCGAGGGAGGGGCGGACAGGGCGGGATCGCGTGCTGGGTCGCCGTGCGCTGCAGGTCCAGAGCGCGCTGAGCGCCTGGGATGCCGCAGGCCGTGCGACTGCCATGGCAGATGTGAGAGGCCGAGCCTATGGCGGAGGCAACGCCCGCGCGGCCGCATGCACACCGCGACAAAGGCAGCGCCTGCGACGCATGCGGTCCTCTCACCCCCCCCCCCATGCAGGATATCACGCGTGTGGAGCTGCAGCACGACAGCGTCATGCGGTGGATGGCGTTCACGACGTCCCTGGGCAACAAGTACGAGTGGGGCTACCCAGGGGAGCCCAACGCGACAGACGTCGTCCTGGACGCGCCCAGGGAGGGCGCTTACCTGGCGGCCTTCCGCGGCTTTGAGGGCAAGCAGCTGCCCCCGGAGATGGGCGGGTACACCAAGCGCTACATCATCCAGATCGGGTTTGCATGGGCGATGCCGAAGTGCAGCGGCTACGAGCCAGCTGGCGGCGCGGCGGCGGCGGACGCCTCGGGGCCGGCGCCGGTGCTCGCGCCCGTCGTGCCGCTGGGTATCTCGCCGTCGCCGCTGACGACGCTCGCGCTTGAAATGGCGGAGCCCCCATCGGCGGACAAGTTGGCGGCGCCTGCTGCTGCGCCCACTGCTGCGCCGGCCCCTGCGCCGTCAGCACCCGCGCCCGTTCCCGCGCCAGCTGCTAAGGTCGCCAACGCGGCTGCTGCCAGGCAGACGCCTGTGGCCGCGATGGCGCGGATCGTGCAAGCCGTGTCGCGGCTGGCGGGCCAGTCGCCGCACGTGCGGCATGCAGCTGCCGCGGGTCGCCGCTGACCCTGCTGGGGACTCGTTTGGGCAGCGGTGTGCGGCCCGTCGACAATTCGACAGGGGGTTCGCGCAACAGCAGGCACAGGCAAGACTGGAGCACACGTGTGGGCTCCAGCTGCCATTGCCACGCCCCTGATAGCGCTGGGAACGCGCTGACGGGGCGTTGGCCACATTTTTGCATCTTATTGGGTTCTCCTCATCCTGGCCAATGTAATGGCCAGAGGATTGCATCATATCACGCATGGGTGGTGCGCGGCCACTCCTTTTCTGGCTTGCGCTCCTGCGACTGAACGAGACTTGGTCAATGCAGCACAGGGCTTGAGCGCAATCTGAACGCGAAAAGTAGATTATACACCTGAGGGGGGTCTCGTGGGATTGCGTGGCTTTGTGTCTGATTGTCTTCCTTCCCTGCTCTCCTTGCTGCACCTGGCCCCGCCTGTGCGCCATGCTGGACTGGCTAAAACTTGTCTGTGTCGTGTTTGTCTTTTCTGGCGCCAGTAAGAGTGGATCTAAGCAGCTGTGCAAGGCCTCCGGTGTTGGGCGGGTTGGTTCCATGATTCTACACACCTTGCATCACAACTGAAAAGCAAGGATTCCCCACTTGGCTCGCGAGGTTCTACGGGCGTCCAAAGTGCGTTCATCTATGTGAGCAATTGCAAGGCATGTGATTGCCGCCTGCCTTGTCAGGCACTGGGCTGGTGCTGTGCGGGTGGCTGTCCAGACACCCAGCACTTGGACTGACGCACGCAGGATGGTGTTTTCAGCTGGCAACAAGCGCGACATACGGTATGCAGTGACAGCACGGTTTTCTTCACCTTGAAGCAGCGCATCCCTGTTCATACCAATAGATCACTTTTCGCGCATTGTCGAGAACTCCTTGCTCTCGTGCATCACGCTTGCCCTCAAGCGAGAATTTGAACACCTGTGGTTACTGAATCTCGATCTTATACAGTACAGCGCTGCACAGCCCCTGTGGCACTAAGTGATCGCTGCCCACACCGCTGTCACAACAGCACACAGCGTAGCCTGCATTACAGCACACATAGGCGACATGCAGGGCCCATCGCAAGCGCTGCCGTGTGCAGAAGTACTGCAGCAGCTTGTAAATGCGCTTACCAGTGGCCAGTCGGCGCGTGCAGTTGAGGCCGCTGGTGCGGCCGCTGCCGCGCTCCACGCTTGCAGCGGCATCAGCACCCAAGGAGCCGCCGCAGCCCGCCAGCTTGCACTGAAGACCCTTGACCTTGCCATCAACGTAACACTGAAATCAAACTGTCCGCATGTCTGTCTCCCTAATTTGCTGGAGGCTTTGGGTTCCACACATGCCTGGTTCCATGTGCAGCAAACAATGCATGCAACCCTGAGCGCCACCGTTCCCAGAGTTTCCTCACTTGCCCGCGCATGCATGACGCATGCAGGATAGATAAATAGATGAGTTACTCATGCCATAGCATCACTGCCATCGGCGTCGCATGCATGCATGACGCACACATGATGCATGCAGGCCAACAACCCTGATTGCTCGGGCCAAGCCCTGTCAGAGCTCTGTGTCTGTGCCTTCCTAAGGGAGCCCGGCGCGATGGGCGCACTCTTGACGGAGGCAACGTCACACCATGAGGCGCGTTGGTGCACGTGCTGCCGTCAAAGGCGTGTGCATGTGTATCCAGCACCCTACAATGCAAGGTCGGCCGCCTGCATGGGCGTGCAAAGGCTGGTGCTGCATGGGGCACCCTGGCCAACAACCATTATTCAACCGTCACATGTCCATGGCATCATACGTACCAGGCTGTGGTGTCGACCCTATACGAGCTCCTGCAGGCCGCTGAACCACGCGAGCTGTCCCAGGCCATGCGCGCCAGCTTCCAACAGGCGCTTGACCTCGTCGCGGCCGCGTGGGTGCCCTTCGACGCGCCGGCCGCGAGCGACGCCGCCGCTGCCACCCGCCTTGCCAACCACCGACGTGTGCTCCTGCATCTGGCCCTCTTTGTTGCCAACAACGGGGACGACAGCGCTGCCGCGGCACTCGCGCGTGGCCCACTGATCAAGCGGCTTGCAACTGCACTCACGTCTCCTCGCGCCACCAATGGCGAGGCCGAGGCCTGCGCACGCCTCTTCTGCACACTCGCGCACCATCCCGATGCTGTGATGCACGCCTGCGGCGGCCCCCGCCTGGTGGCAGCTCTGCTGGCCGCGGCGTCCCGCGACCAGCCCGCGCCCGCAGCAAACAGCGGGTCAGAGCTGACAGGGCTGGCACTGGAGGCGCTGGCACGCTTGAGCTACCACGAGCGCGCGCGCCACGACTGCGAGGTTGCTGGCGAAATCACCCTGTCTAAGATGCCCGACGCCGCCGCAAAGCTCGTCCTCATAATTCAGAAGGCCATGGCAGGTGCCAACGCGGCCGGCGAGCCGCGCAGCGCCGCCAACGTCCCCCACGAAGCCTCTGCCGCGGCCAGCCTGCTCGGCATCGCGGGGTCTCAGAAGGACGGGCCTACGACGCTAGGCGCCGGCGCTGCTGGCGCGAGGTTCTGTGCCCGCGCACGCGCTGCAGGCGGCCTGCGGGCGTTGCTGGCGGCGCTGGATGCGAGCGGGGACGCGAGGGATCAGCGCAGCATTAGCAGCTGCAGTCTCATGCTTGCCAGCGCTGGACTTGTCCTTGGGTGGGTTGGCCAGAGGGCTGAAACGGTCGGGTGGAATTTGGCGGGACGGGAAGCTGAGCTTGCTCTCACGGGTGTCGCAGCGACATAGTTTGGCTTGTGGACTGCCTGCGCTACCGGCATCCGGCATCTGCGGAGTACCTTTGTATCATGCACGACTCACCACACCACCCAAACTTCACCCTCTGACAGAACTATCGGGCTGGACAACCACAGCTCCAGCAACGCCCCAGCGGAAGTCGAGCGGGCGCAGCTCAAGCAGCTGGCCTGGGAGCAGCTGGCGTACGGCCTGTCTCACCACGACCCGGCAACTTCCAGCAAGGCAGGCGACATGATGGAGGGCGTCCTGATGTCCTCCCCTACGACGTTTGCCGGCTTCGAGATGCACCCTGGAGGCCTTGATGCCCTGGCCGCCGCTGTGGCGGCGCCGCACGCTCAAGGGGACGCGGTGAAGGCGGCCTCACACGTGCTGGCATGTATAGGTGCGAAGGGACAGACGGATTGCTCTAGAACTGCGCCGTGGTGCACACAAGCGAGGTGCACGGCGCACCGTGCTGCGATTGCCTTTCAGATCTCTGAAGGCTGCTGGCCACACTAATGTGCCTCACCCCCCCTTGATTTGCAGCCAGCTGGGTGGGGCTGGCCTCTGGCCGCAGCGAGCAACTGCACAGGCAGGTGTACATGGGGATGCCGCCGCGCGACTTGGCTGTGTGCGCCCTGCGCTTCATCAAAGTCAACACTGGGAACGGCGACCTAGCACGCCTGGCGGAGCGGCCGCTCAAGACTGTTGCCGCAGCAGCGCGCGGGGCGCGTGTTGGCGGTGGCGATGATGTGCTCATGGGTGATTCAAATGCCAGCGCCGGCGCCGCCAGCCCGGGCGGCGGCGGCGGTGCCAAGAAACGCGGGCGGGGTGGTGATGGGCATTAGGTGCGGGGGCTGCTGTTGCTGCTGCTGCTGCTGCGGATGGATGTGCTCATGGTTCAAGCCAGGTCTAGGACACACGATGGCCACAACTTTTGTGCTTGTATTCCTGCAAGTCGCCTTCCCTTGGACGTGTTTCAAACCCCTGTTCGCACCCCCCCTCAGCAGCGGGTCAAACATGCTTTGACACGCGTGGGGTATACTCTGAGGCGTGCACTTGAGAAGGGCTGCATTATTTGCTGAGTATGCTGAGTGTGTAAATTTTGATGCTCATCTCTTGCGGCATGCGGCCTTGGCCCTGACTGCAAGACCAGGATGGGCTCGACGCGTCCAGGTTGGCAGGTGCAGGGACGTCGACGCCAAGCAGTAGGCACGGGCATGCCACCTCTCAGCAACGCGCGTCTGCGCGGCCTGGTTACAAGCAGAGCAGATAGCCGATCATGAGCATACGCGAGGCCGCGCAGAACCTGCTGCGTGCGCACACGGCACCTGAACGCATCGATTTGCGGGATGGGCTGGTGATGTCCATGAGCTTGGCCAAGGTGATAATACAGTAGAAGCAACTGTTACTGTGGCACGTCGCAGTCTGGCAGGGGGTCGCTTGAGCAGATGGGGCATCGTGCAGTAGGCTCCAACCAGGGTGCCACAGCTGCAGAGCGGCCCGCGGACGACGATGCTGTTTGTTAGTGCTTGTATGAGGCGGCGTCACCGGCCCTTGCCTAGCGCGTGGCCGATGGGCACGCCCAGGCGTGCGGCAGCCACGCTGCAGCACTGCACAGCACGCGTGTGCAGGCAGACGCAGGCAGGCCTATGCTGGTGCCTGCACCATCAGCAGCCCTCTGAGTGCATCAATCCTCATCTCACCCGCCAGCATTCGGCAATGGAGCGCCCAGCGCCCACCCGCAATCCAAGCCTCCTCCTCGACCAAACCCGACTGTGCAATCGCCGCCCTCGCCGGCCCCGCCGCTGCAGGAGGCTGCTCTTGTTGCAAAGATGGCGGGCCGCGACGCGGAGGAGGAAGTTCTGGAGACGACCGCGTGGGGCGGCGGGTCCCAGGCGGGCGCGGATGAGCGGTACGCTCTGATGCTCGGTGACTACGTATGCCCAGCGCCCGCCCACCTCAAGAGCGACCGCGCAAAGTTCTGGTGAGCGCGCCTGCATGATGCCTGGCGGCGCTCCGTGAGCACACGCGCGCGCACGCATCGCGCGCGCCAGCGGCATGGAGGGGACGGGGCGGCCCAGTTGGCGCGTCGGCGGCGTCGTCCGCCTGCCGCAGGCTGCAGACACAGGGCCCCTTCCTGGGCCCCACGCGCTCACTGTATCGCCTGCGGGCGCGTTTCCGCATCACCCCGCTCTCGCGCCCAGGTACGTCAACGGGCAGCACTTTTCTCACGTGACCAGCTGGATAGCGCCCGCCCATGCAGCTGCAAAGCGAGACTGGCACGCCCTGAGTGGCAGCGGCGAGGCCATTGGCACCCGGCAGTCACCCAGCGGCAGCCCGCGCAACTCTTGGTCTTCCAGCCGCGGAGGAGGCGCGGGCGTTGCAACTGGGGCCGAGCGGGACGCGGTCGTCCCGCAGCCGCCGCCGCCACCACCGCCGCCGCCGCCGCCGCCCCCGCTGGCAACACCGCCAACCCCTCAGCAGCAGCCGCGGCAGCAGCAGCATGACCCACAGGAAGAGCAGCTTCAGCAGCAACAGCAGCAGCAAAAGCAGCAGGAGCAGCAACAGCAACAAATGCGGCAACAGCAAAGGCAGCAGCGCAGCGCGCCCGACGACGGGCAGCACATCCGCGCCGGCAGCGTCGTGCTCAGGCGCACGGCGCTCGCCGCCAGCAGCGACGGCAGCGCCGGCGGCGCGAGCGTGAGCGAGGGCGGCAGCAGCACCGGGTCGGCGGCGGCCGACATCATATCCGCGCCGGGTACCCCTTCTGCGTGGCTGTCGACGCCGTTTGCTTACAGGCTTCCGAGCGAGGTCAAGGCGGCCGGAGGGCGCTTGTACTAGGCGGCGCCGCCCCACGCTGGGGGGCTGCCGGCCAGCGTCACCCCACCAGCCAGCAGCTGCGGCGCCGCAGCCGCTCATGGGCGACGCAGCTGCCACTAGGGTAGTGACGGCACCGCGGCGCACCTCGCGCGTCGAGCGGGCCTGCGGCTTTTCCAGACTCCCCGACACCCGCGGCAGGCCACGGCCCTTCCGCGCAGCAGCAACGACTGTAGTAGAGTGGCGGTTAGAATGGGAGGGCCCGCCGCCTCCATCGCTACTTCTGGTGTCCACATCAGCCCGCGCCACCTGCTTATCTCGGTGACCTGCGGGTGTGCGCGCCCTCGAGCAGCCAGCCGAGCGGCCGCCCACGCGCACAGTCTTCCGAAGCCCCCCAACCACTCCAAGCGCCCTACTCAGCCATCCGCAAATGCATTCGTGCGGCCGCCCGCCTGCGGCGGCCACCCCATTTTTGACACTTCCGCCAGCAGCGGCGCGCTGCGCTTCCTTATGGGCTCAGTGAGGCATACCTTGAGCGTGGCCCTCTACACCTGTTGCTCCGTTTCAAGCCCTTCAGTCGCTTTTTCGGGGCCTTCTGGTTAAAAAAACTCTGCATCACCCCAGAGACTCAATCACCAAGCCTGCCTTCTTTTGGGGGCCCCGTCCCCCCCAGCGCAACGATCGGCCCGCCTGTCCCCTCGACTTCCGCAGGGTGCCTGGCACTGCTCTGCATGCTCCCTCTCCCCTGCTCTAAGAACCATGCTGCCTCTTTGTCACGCTTCAGGCGTGCCCGCATTTGGGGGGCCCGCGCGCAGGACAGGCCCCTCCCCAACACCTCCAAAGCGCGTAAGAGCCGCGTGCGCGGGCGCTTGCGGCGCTGCAAGCGGTCCCCGCGATGTAACACAAACCCTTCCTTTCATGGCCATCCCTCAGTCTCCCTTGGGCGCCTTTGTGCAGGGGGCGGTCACTAGTTACAAAGCCAGCAAAAGGTTGTCCAGATCGCTTTGATTGCAGCGACGCTGGCTCGTCAATTCGATTCCAAAGGACTCGCGGGCTACCCGGTGCCAGGTATGCTGCTGCGAGTGCCGCCGCCGCCAGCGCCGCCGCCAGCCGCCGTCCCCCTGACCTCTGCAGCCGCCGCCGCCCTCTCGTTGAGGCCGTCGATGACTGATGGGCTGAACTCGCGCGGCAGCTCGTCGCGCCAGAGGAGGGACGACGGGTCGTCCCACAGCTTGCGCAGCGCCGCCGCGTGCTGCCGCCCCACCACCGCGACGACCGGGCCGTCCGCCCCGCCCCCAATGCCGCTGTCGCCGCCGCCCGCGCCGGCCTCCGCCGGCGCCCTGCTGCTGCTGCCGCTGCTTTGGGGGGTGGCCCGGACGCGGCGCTCGGCGCCCTCCTCGCAAAACTCGCGCAGCTGCCACGCCATATGCAGCTCGCGGCGGGCAAAGTGCTCCCATTTGAGCGGCTGCGGAGAAGGGAATGGCGATTTCATTTGATGATTGGGTGGAGGTCTCACCGCGCAAGGGTGGACACTGGAGGGTGCACAGGCAGGCTTGCACCAAAGCAGCTGCGTACACGATGCCTGGGACGCGCAGCGATGTCGTCCTGGATGGAAAACCCCCGCAGGCAGGCGCGAGAACGCCGCAGCCCCCGAAACCAGCCCGCGCGCGCCGGCCCCTCCGGCCCACCTGCAGCCGCCTCAGCCGCGCGAGCACGCCGCGCGCATCCCTCGGCCCCACCGTCGCCGCGGCGCAGGACCGGGCAATTTTGAACGCCAGCAGCGCCGACGGCCCCAGGCCCCCAAACGCGCCCGCCAGCCGGGCGTCCCACTCCTGGAAGCTGGGCGGAAGCCGCGCCTGCAGCGTGTGGGAGTCGCGCAGCAGCTCGTAGGGCAACCTCTGCTGCAAGTTGCCGTCGCGGCGGCGGGCCTCAAAGTCGGCCACCATGGCCGCCACCCAGCGCTCCTGCAGCGCCAGCGGCGCGTCCAGGCGCCGCACGGACGCGCCGCCGCGCGCCGCGAGCTGCGCGGCGGCCACATGCTCCATGCCTGGGCCCGTTGGGGGG